GAGCAATGACCAGGACTGGCCCAATTGGCACAAATCAAATTAACTCTCCCCACCGGTGTTGGGTCTGGCTGCAAGAGGCACTGCCAATGCGAGGAGACGCCCTCTGCCCCACCTGGCACCAGCTGCTGCTCTGGGTTAGTCGGGCAGCTGAGCTTTGAGCCTGGGACTCCCAGGGGTGTCTGGCTTTGGCCCCTCGGGCAGAGCAATGACCAGGACTGGCCCAATTGGCACAAATCAAATTAACTCTCCCCACCGGTGTTGGGTCTGGCTGCAAGAGGCACTGCCAATGCGAGGAGACGCCCTCTGCCCCACCTGGCACCAGCTGCTGCTCTGGGTTAGTCGGGCAGCTGAGCTTTGAGCCTGGGACTCCCAGGGGTGTCTGGCTTTGGCCCCTCGGGCAGGGGCTTGACTAGACCTCTGCAGAGGCCCCGCGAGCCGGCCGGGTCTGTGGCTTTCCATCCAGGCTCTGGGTGGGATGGGCAGCAGCTGGCTCCTGCGCCTGGCACTGGGACTGACACCAGTTGCTGGTCCTGCGGGGTCTGACTGTTTTCTCTTAAACCTAATTAGGTGCAATTCTTCCCCATCCCTCCCATGTAACCGGCAGCGGCTCTGCCATCCACCCCCAACCGTTCCCCGTAGGACAGCGGGGCCGGGAGGAGACCTGGGCTGGGATTTGTCAGCCCCCGCCAGGAGCTGCAGGCACCCAGCTCCCACTGGTTCTGACTTCCCTGGCACCCCTGCTCTGGAGACCTGTGAGTTGCCCCAGGAGAAGCCCAGGTTCCTAGCTAGGAGCTGAGGCTGCCTGCGTGGCCTCTTCCCCCGGTGACAGTGTCGTGGTCCCCTGCCTCCTGCACCCCCGTAGTGGCACGAACAGACTCCACCAGCCAGTAGAATAGAGGGAGTTTATTGCCTCTCCAGGACACAGCACAGATGTGAACTGGGGCTAGGAGGCCTCAGTGCGTGCCCCCCCCCTTGGGGGGGGTGACTGGGCCCTACAATCCCAGCCCCCTCCCTAGCTCCTTCTCCCCTGCTTCCCAGACAGAAACTAAAACCCTTCCAGCCCTGCCCCCCCAGTCAGGGGCAGCATTCCCCCCTTCCTTTGTTTCTCCCCCTGGGGGGTAGCTGGTCAGGTAGAGACCCTTGCCTAGTGATTCATCCCCTGTCCTGCTGGGCCGCGGTACAGACAGCAGCCAGTGGGGGTCACCCACAGCCCCAGCCTAGCAACCAGCAAGGTACCCCCACTGTCACCCCCCCCAGGTGGAGTATCAGTGCAGGGGGTTCCTGGAGAAGAACCAAGACATGGTCCCTGCGGAGCTGATTGGGCTCCTCCGAGCCAGCAAGGTGAGCTCCTGGCGGGGGCAGGGGGTGCTCAGGAGCAGACCGCATGGGGAAGGTGGCGGCGTGTGGGGATTGTGGGTCAGACGGGGCAGTGCCCCTTGGGGAGGTGCCCCGCCCTCACGGGGAGTGGCAGAGTCTCCGCACTGGGCGTTCTCTCGCGGATGTTGCGCGAAGCTTGGCCTGCCTTTCCCGTCCCCTGCTCGCCGGCACGGCTGGCCTGGGGGTGGGGGGCACCTGCCCTGTCCAGATGCCGAGGTGAGGACCCGTGTGCTTCCTGCAAGAAGCACACGCTGAACTGCCCTGAACCTGCCCTCTCCGGGCAGGGCTCCATTGATGAAATGGAGTCCCCTCCACCAGGGGACACCAGACCTCTCCCACCAAAGCCATGCTCTGCACGCTGGCACAGGAAGGGGCGTGCCGGCCCCAGGACGGCCCCGGTGCAGTGCGGAGGCTTTGGCTGGGAATGGGGGTTCCAGCTGTCTGCACTGGCTGGTCCTGCAGCTCCAGGCTGTGCTCAAATGGGGGGGGGGGGTGGAGTTGCCACTTGCTGATGAGCTAACAGCTCTGTCATTTCTCTCCTGGCCGGCTGCCCTCCCGCCCGTGGGCCCCGCAGAAGGTAAGCTGCGACGCGGGGCTGGTTGTGAGGGAGCTCGGCAGGGTCCATCCCTGCCGTAACCTTGAATTCCTGGAGACCTTCCTCCCCCGGGGCTGCCAGCCCTCCTGGGCTGTCAATGGGGAGATGTGGTGCATTGCAGGGGCTGGAACCCTGGGCCCCGCCGGCTGTGGCTGCTACATAACTTATTGGGTGGGGGGTGAGCCACTTCCTAACCAGGGGTGGGAAGGTGAAGTCTGCATGTGTCAGTCTGCTCTGTGCTGCCTGACTCAGCAGGGCCCGATCAGGGTCAGGCCCCAGCTGGTGGCAGAAGGCGGCCCAGGAGCTCTCGTGTAACCAGCCCTGCGGCTCGTGCCCCCCTCTCCCGGTGCTGCTGGGTGCCCTGTGGCTGCAGCCCATAGTCCCTTGTGCTGCGCTCAGGTGGGAGCCCCTGTGGCAGGGGGTGGGGTTCAGGCACTCTGCCCCTGCTGGCCAGTAGGTGTCACTGCTGGCCTGCTGCTGGCTCTGATGCTGCTGCTCTCCCCACTAGTCTGCGCTGCTAGCAGAGCTCTTCCCGGAGGAGGGGGACGGCAGCATCGCCCTGCCCTCCCGCCTGTCGCATGGGTCCAGAGTGACCGTCCGCCCCAGCAGGAGGTCTCTGCCGGCCACGGACAAGGAGCACAGGAAACCCATCTCCACCCAGGTACGGAGCTGGGCTGGTGTCAGTACCTGATCCATGGCCCTCCACGTCATTCCCCTTCGGATGCTGCTTTGGGCGTCCCGGTCTGTGCAGAACCCCGAGCTGCTGTCACTGCTCTTGGCCTCCAGAAACCCTCATCAGCCGAACGCCCCTAGAAGTGAGGAGCCCCACAGAGCCGGCTGGCCTCAAACAGCAGGTGCTCAGCACAGCTGGAGATCGGGGCCTTGCTCCGTCTGGTAGATGGAGCAGAGATCCCTCCAGGAGCTGCTCCAAAGGCTTCCCCTGGGCTGTGGCTAGGGATGGGCCCAAGCACATGGCAGGGTCTGGGAACACCCGCGGGCTGGGGTGGGGACTGGTCTGAGTGGCTCGGTGGGCTGGGGACTCTGGTGCGAGGCCACGTGGAGGCTTATCCGTGTCTGAAGCACCAGGTAGAGCTGCCTGGTGAGCAGGTGGCCTGGGAAGGGCCGCTGGGTATTCAGGGGCTGCATACAGGGCTTCCCTTTCTCCAGTGGGCCCTGCTCTCTGCGGGGCTGCCTGCCCGTGGAATCCGGAAACCACTCTGCTCTGCCGCTGTGCCTGGGCTGCCCTCTGGGGCCCTGCGCCGCGCCCAGAGCTGAGCCGGCTTGCTCTGTCCCTCGCAGTTCAAAGCCTCGTTGCACAAGCTCATGGAGACTCTGGCCTGCACCACGCCCCACTACATCCGCTGCATCAAACCCAACGACCACAAGCGGCCCTTCGAGTGAGTGCCTGGCAGCGCTGGGGTCGGGGACGGAGGGGAGGCTCCAGCCCTACAGGCAAGGGCCAGAGCTGCTACTGGGGACCCTGCATCCCCAAGAAACTCCTGGGAACCCAGCCGCAGTGTTCCACCCCCTGCCCTAGCAAAACTGGGCCCCCATTGGGCGACTTCTCTCTGCCCCCAGCAAGAGAACCAGGCACCCGGCTTCCCGGGGTGCCCCTACCTGCAGCTGCGGTACAGATAGGGAGTAAGGAGGTGGGCTGAGCCCAGCCCCAGCCAGGCGTGCTGCATGTGGGGTAGCAGAGCCCTTGGGACCCTCGCATGGGGGTCATGGACTGCCTCTGCTCTAGGTTCGATGCCAGGCGAGTTGTCGAGCAGCTGAGAGCCTGCGGGGTGCTGGAAACCATTCAGATCAGCGCCTCTGGCTACCCGTCCAGGTAGGGCTGCTCCAGGGGCTCGCGCTGGGTGCGGCGCATGCGTGTCTGGTGCTGGCTGACTTGGCCCTGGGGCTGGCTTCTGTCTCCTCCGCAGGTGGACGTACGCAGAGTTCTTCGGCAGGTACAGGGCTCTGATGCGCCCAGAGGACCTGACGGGCGGGGACGAGAAGAAGACCTGCTGGCTTGTCCTCCAGAGGCTGCTCAAAGTAAGAGCCCCGGGGTGGAGGGGAAGGGGATTAAATTCTAGGCTCTTAGGTGCTCGCTGCTGTGTCCGGCCTTTCCTGCCATCCCAGCCCCTCCTCCGTGCCCCAAGGGAGCTGCCTGCCTGTGCATGGGCCAGCAGCACGGCCTGGCGGGACCCATCCCTCTGGGCGGCAGTGCTGTTGTAGGGGAACAGGTCCCATAGGTCAGAGCGGGGGGGGGGGGGCGGGGGGCACAGGG